TGCAGGTTCATTTGCAAGCTAGCATTCAAAATCTCTAAGGAATCATTTCAAATTCCTGATTGGACACCTGTCAGCTCCTCCAATTCACTAGACATTATTAAATTGTAGCTAATGATTGGTAAATTTCAGCCAATCACATGGACTGACAAGAGGACTCCATAAAGAGAAGAATTTGTGCCAGTGCTGCTGTGGAAAAGGCGAAAGCTCGGTAAATTAGTGTCTGTATGGATAATACATTTGATCCTGATTAGTGGATGCAAAATGTCAGCATATTTTGAGAAATGCTGACAACAAGCAGAACATCCTCTAAGAGCAGTCAAAAGTTTTTGTATGTGTAAGTATTTCACGGGCATAGGAAAAATGTTTGTGCGTGTGCATGAGAGACGAAGTATGTGGGTGTGTGCTGTGTACAAGGTCTTTGAGAAAGCATGTTCTGTGAGTGTGCATGTCTGTGGATGTATGCAAGTGTGTGTGTGTGTGTGTGTGTGTTTTCTTCCTGTCCCAGAGGGAGGGTGCTGAATAACAGGCCCTTTTTGACAGGCTGGGACGCTGAGTGCTGTCAGCCCCCTCGCCAGGCCAGGGATGAGAAGTGAGAATGAGAGAGAGTGAGGAAGTGATAGAGAGAGAGAGAGAGAGAGAGAGAGAGAGAGGGATGGGGGGGGGGCTCCATGTGTTTAGACTAATAGGAGGCCAGCGTTCAGCTTCTCCTCCAGCAAGAACAGACAGTTGAAATCTCTGGGCAGTTAGCACAGCGCTGCCTCTCAAAGATTTCCTGTCAGATCATGTCTATAAAAGGCAAGAGGAGAGCTTCTCAATAGCAAAGCAAGGACAAGGGGAATAGAGAAGAGGAAAACCGCACCTGGAAAAATTGTCTGCCTTCATAAGAACCGAACAAATTGAATGAAGTTTTACAGTCAGATTTGACAAGGCGCATGTACACTCTCTTGATATTTGACAATTTAAATCAAAAGATAAAGATTTGGAATACGCAAGCATTTGATACTTGGGATTAAGGAGATGCAACTGTTGGTGTGTTTAGCTTTCTGTCCATTGGCACAAGTTGAGTGAAATGTGTCTGCATGTATAAACAAAGGTGGAAACTAGCAAAGTACATTTATTCAAGTGTTGTACTTAGGTGCAATTCTAAGGTATCTGTGCTTGAGTATTTTCATTTTCTATTACTTCATACTTTGACTTCACTAGATTTTAGAAACAAATATTGTACTTTTTATTCCACTGCATTTATTTTATAACTTTAGTTGCTAGTTACTTTTCAGACTCTAATTAACAGAATAAGATACAGTATATTTATAAATTTTATTGATCCCTTGCGGGAAATTCATAGGCTAACCATCAGTACTTCATATTGTAAGCATATAAGGTAGTTAAAATTAGCTCCAACTTTGCCAGCTGCAACATTAAATCTAATGTACACAATAATGGATCAGTAATTATAATCCAATATTATTATTATTATATACATCAATGTAAAAGGTGCAGATCTGCAAAATAAGAATTTTTATTTTTGATACTTTTAGTATATATTGATGCTAATACGTTTGTACTTTTACGTAAGTACATTTTGGATGCAGAGGACTTTTTTTGGCACTGTGGTATCAAATTTTACTCGAGCAAAGAATTTGAGTACTTCTTCCACTGCTGTGCACAAATATCAATGGCTCTCACATCTTCATTACGTGCAAAATCACATGGAAATTCCAAACAGATTTACTGAGAGCAGGCATCTTGAAACCCAGAGTTAAAGTGTTTGTTACTGTGAAAAACAAATTAAAAAAGTAAGATGGGCATTTCAGTGAAGGTGAACATTTTCATTAGTTTTCAAAAGGCCAAGTGTTACATCTTTCAGCATATGAGTTTCATAAATTTGTTCATGTCAGCATATACATTTTGAGTGGCAAAAATGTTTCATTTTCATTAACTTTAATTGCACGCACACAGGTGATTTGGGATTGTTTAAATATATCAGATTATACGCTAGAATGATTTCTCAATTATATAAACTGACAGACACTGCATGTTTGCAAGTAAAATATAAAAAGTCACACAATTAGGCATCTGGAAGATGTTGCGGTGAATTCTAAGAGAGATTTTTACTGTGGCCTAAGAAAAAGATGAATTAGAATGTGCTTTTGCATGATATACACACAAGGAGTAACAGTTGAGGCTTACTCTTTTGTAGGCCAATGAAGTGTCTCGTTTCCCTTCTTCATATACAGTACTTGCTTTTGCACATATTAAAACAAATACTATTTTTGGCTTCTTAATTATTAGCCCAGTCCCTGCAATAAAAACCTGTTTGCAAAATGGTCTCACTTAGTTGCTGACTATGCTGACCTTACGCCCATTACGAAGGAGTTTTCTGATTTCTAAATATTTAATTGCATCCTGTTATGTAAATGATGCAGGACTCAAATATCAATCACAGTATAGCGCTCAATGTATACAACAGTGTCACTCTTCTGTGGTGACTCTCAGTATTTAATCTGTGGATAATTAAAGTGTTATGTGGACACAGTGCCAAGAAAAAGCTACCACATCGCAGAACTGCGGAATAGCACGATTTAACGCAAGAAGAAAATGTCAGCATTACCATACATTGCTAATTGGATGTTTTATCCCCAGTTTTAAGATCAGGGGTTTTCACATAATGAATGTTTTGCCAGGGGTTTCTGTCATGGCAACATGATATTAAATGCAAATATCAACAATTTCTTTCTTCCTTTTTCTTTTTTGTCAAAATGGAAAAAAAAGAGTAGCAATGAAATCAGGCTGAATTAATTTTAAATGAATGCAGTCAACTTCATTTGTAGTCAGTTCTCCACCATAGGTACATGGACAAACGCATTTCATCTAATTAGAAATTCCTGCTACGGAACGAGTCACTGGGCATGTGAATCGACAAGGCAACAACATATGCGACGCATCAGATAGCTTAAACATCCTGTTGCCAGGGAGACGTGACTTGCAGCTCATGCACTGCTTTAGATGAATATGAGTTAATGTGAGCTGAGATTATAGTAAGCCAAAATAATATAGTCAGATTTCCTCCAAGGGTATGAGTCATGGAATCAGACCTCACTGTGGATTGAACAGAAGTATACAGAAGATTATGCACTTTGATTTATAAAGTTTCATCTGTCAATCATCTGTCATTCTCTCTACCATTTGGAATAATAAAAGGGGCAGTTTAAGCAGGATTTTATTGGAATTTTGAACAGATATAAACAATTCTTAAATGTTTTGATTAGTAAAATGAAATGAAGCTTAAGTTAACTTATAGCAAATAGGTTATGTTGATTTTGTGGAAACTGTGTGGCTAAATATCTCAAACTTTCTCTTAACACAAATGGAAAACCCTTACTTCCAGGTTCATCATTATTCCAGGAGGAAGAACTCCCCTATTTGCACATGTTGCACAAAATGATGTGACTTATAATGACCGGTGACAATCATTTACTTCAATTATTTTCTCTTTACAGAAATGTGGCATGACGACTGCAGCAGAAGAAGTCATAAAAGATAAACGTCCTGAAACGGAAAACAATTAACACACTGACCCGTAACACTGACAGGCATCGCACCTTGGCACCGGCACGCGCTGTGGGCTGTCGAAGCCTTAGCTTTCTGTTAGAATATAGGAATACAGCTCTGCTTATTGAATTGTTGTGGGGGGACCTTTGCCTGAGGGTTAATACAACAATTTACTCTGGACTCGATGTTGTTGTCGTGATTTGTTTGGTGAGCATTGTCAGCCTGCAGGGTCTGGCGCACTCTTGCTTCCACGTTTAAGTGGGAAGATGTAGTGCGTTCCAGGGGAGCTCCATCATTTGCCTCCCACAGTAGCTCTTTTTAATAAGTCAATGGAAATGAAAGATGGCTCAATGCATCATGAAATTATTTCTACACATCACCCTTACTTGGTTTTCAATTCATTCTTTCCCCTCATGCCTCATGGCCAAATCCCATGTCGTTAGCTTCCTAAATACCCTGTGTCAAGTGCATTTAGTTCTAAACAAGCTTTCTAAAGTGCTATATCATTTTTTTTTATATTTTTATTTTCCATAAAACTATTTTTCTCAATGAAATACATTAGTATATTCTATAGTATAATATTGATTTTAATATCTAATATCTAAAATTGACTATTGGAATCTTCACAGTGTTAAAAAAAAAACTGATATTGCTGTGTAAAAACAACAAATTATCACTGGCCACAATACAATTTAAAATGTCCCTAAATACCCTGTAATATATTCTCAAAGAGAAAAAACTGGCAGGTTCGGGCTGTCATCGTGTGGGAATACAGCATACGGTTTGATTTGCAGCATGCTGTTGATATCATCATATTCATTCATGTTTCCACCTGACACATTTTTTGTTCCATCGCAAAATTTGTCTCTGCACCTCTTCCATTTCTTTATGCTTCAAGTGTCAATGACACTCTGATGGCATGGAGTATAATGAGGTTTATATTTAGCTGGTTTTTGTGTACTGCTTGAGTGCAAGTTTGGATGCAAGCTACAGTCTGTCAAAACAAAGAAAGTCCAATTTTTTTTCAAATATGCCTGCTAAATAAAAATGATTCATTCCCGGTTCATGTGGCTATGTCAGGCAGATCATCAGCATTCAGCCGTTCTTGGCCTGCCTGTCCCCCACTGCAGTGCCAATAATGACCGATCCCAGAGCTGGGAGGCATCCACTGTGGATTGTATTTTGCAGAAAAATTCTTTCTTGCAGAAACCCTATGAATCTGTCCATCTTCTTGAGATTTAAAATCCTGTCCAGATATTGTAAATACTGCTGAAGACAAGTATCCTCATCAGGCATCAAGGAAAGATCAGGTTGAATCAACACAATGTGCTGCTGATCTTGAGAAGCCATAGAAGCAGCTTTTTGCTAAATGACAGTGGAATCATCTTCAGTTTAAGCTTTGCCTTTCATTAAGATAACCACTGTTTCACTGTTGTCCCCTTGAACAGAAGCAGAAAAAGACGGGATAGGAATGTCTGCTGGCAGGTATGATTGTACTCCAACACAATCTTATCATGCGGACACAGTTTTGTCAAACATTTGGAGAAAATCATTTTTCTCGATCTTTGACTGTGTGCTAGGCGGCGAGGCAGCTGTTGGAAGGCTCACCACCTGGTGAGTAGCTTTGAAGTACACTTTGAGGATTAAATTATTCATTCAGAATGGCAACATGTATCCAGCTTGCGTGAGACTGTGGAGAACATTTTGCCTCCTGCAGCTTCGCGTTACTGGACAGTCTTTCAGCACACCCAACTTCATCCTGCTTCATGAAAATGCAGACTTCTCACAAAAGTTCCAGTTCTTTGTAGACAAGACTCAGTAATGAAAAAGATGACTTAGTAATGAAAAAGCTCATTGTTTCTCACAGTCAAAATGGAGATTATGATAATAATTAGCATGATAAAATAATGTTTTACAGAAATGTTTTATAATCTGTAGCCTTATCAGCATGTCTGCAGGATGTCCTAAATGTGAAAATGACTGTGTCCACCAGGAGGCAACTTTAAAAGGAATCCTGCTTCAACAAAAATTAGGTAGCATATTCAACTCTAACAAATGTTTCAACTGTTATTTTGATTGTTAATGCAGCTACAGCAGTGTGAAACAAAGGTCTGAGGATTCAAACAGAAAAAGTCATTTAGATTTTATTAATAATCTAGATGAATGACGGTAAATTAAAATGGACCTGGACCTAGACAAGGAGACCCCATAAAAACAATCATGCCGGCGATGACACTGGTGCACGAATGTGTGACTGTTTGGGAGTGCGAATGGGTGAATGGCCAAATAGTGTGAAAGTGCTTTGAGTGCACTGCAATGCATAGAAAAGCCTTACACACATATAAGACACATTTACCATTATTTTCCTTATTTGATGGTCTACCCATCAGTGTTTGCTTCTTTGTCAGAAACAGCTGCCTGGTTCACTTATAGCGTTAATCAGACAAGTGACTGCATGGTATACGGGTATTTATGATCCATGTTATCACAGAATAGCTATAGCCTACTGCTGTCATTAAAATAACTTGCATACAATAGTTAATGTATATGCTTTTTGCTTTTCCAGAGTGAAATTGTGTAAACATGCATATCCTTTTGGGTTTTCAAAACATCCTCTCAAAAGATAGTCAAGAGGAGCTTTACGTGTCTAATGCTGAACATTTTGCCTTATTTCAGCTTTTATTCCTTTTACAGTCAGCAACATATCACTGCCACAACATCCAGGAAAAGAAAGCAAAGGTCATTTTCAGAAAAAAAGGAACAGAAAGCTCCCTGAGGCTGTTTGTCCAAACAGTACATCCCAGAGGAGAAAAGGTGTAGCTCTGTAGTTTTTAATCAGCAAGTTGGAAACTGTTTACACTGTTTGCAGTTTCTTGTGACTTTTTACTGCTGGTTCTTGTCTGACTGTGGAATTACATCATTGTCATGTGTTTATTTGTGTTTTATTGTTTTATTCCATTCTGTCACCTGGAAAGATAGGTGACAATATTGTACATAGCTACAACAGCAACTGCACAAATGCATTCTTTTTAGCTATTGTGACTGATGAGCACTACTGGAGATCCCATAGTGATAGTATTACATCTACCGACTTACAGTACAACTTTGTTTTTTAAAATGATATTAGAGTTTGTGCAAAGTTGAAAAAAGTGGGTGAAAAAAATAATTTATCAAAAAAGAAAAATAGTGAAATTGGAATCCATTTTTCTAAAGTAATGAAAAAACTTTAATAGCTAATGATGACAGCATGTTGCATTTTCCTTTGATGGCGTAAATCAAGAAAAGATTAACAGAAGGCACAGAATTTAATGTAAATAAGCCCTAATTGTTTCTCAGCGGTGTAGCTCTACAGTACATCAGCCAGAGAGAATACACAGTAGTATCCTACACACTATGACGTCTCTGGAAAATGAGCGGCATTTCCTCATTGTGTCAATATTAACAATGTAACCTGTCAGAAAATTTGCTGCAGTTGATGTGAGGATCTTCTGTATTGCAGAACAGGCTTTTCTCTGTAATGTTAACTGGTACCCAGGAAGAATGCAACGAGCATGCAGCGAGATATTGTATGATTTTATCTTTACTGACACAGGGGAGCAAATTATGAGAAGGCCCTCAAGGCCTGCATGCTACAGAAAAGTGTGAACCCTGTGGTTATGTAATAATTGTCTAGCCTGACACAGTACACCACAAATTTCACTATTCTGAGTATTACTTGACCACCAGAACAAAGCCTATTCGCCTTGTTAGCTGCTGTCATTTCTGAAACAGGGTTTAGTGCCTACTGACTGGGTCTACTGTCAAGGGATATATTAGGCTGAATATGTAAAGTCTATTATGTCATTTTCACTTCTCCCTCTCAGCCAACTTTTGAAAACTGATCTTCTTTTTGATTCACATTTGATGCTGGTGCAACTTGTTCTTTTGTGTGGCTTATGTGCTTCACATTAATGATCATATTGTGCATTGCTGATGTGGGACTTACATATGTTACTGCTACTAAAACTGCGCTTAGAGTGACCAGTATCTCTGCTGTCATACAATGCCCCAGATATCTCATAGATGCTATACTCTCTCTGGTATATGCAGCTTGAGGCTACTTCCATGTGGCACAGATTTAATTGTGTGCCATATTTAGAATTGTTGAAACTGATATAAGGGACAAAAGGAGACAATGGAGTCCCAGTATTCCAAGATGAAGCAAAGCTGCAGTCAGAAAAAAGAGATAAGCTGGTAGCCTAATACTATTGCCGTGCCTCATGACTGCCCCGGACAGATCTCAGCTTTTAGTAATTAAATTAGACAGTCATATTTAACTGCCAACTTTTTTTGATGATTGGAGCTAAATGGGGGCACCCTTGACTTACAGAAAGAGTCAAACAGCACCTCTTGGCTGGTATTTCTGAATTCAGAGACCACTGGGAATTTCTGTCCTCTAATAACATTCACTGTACAATCTGAAATGGATGCGTGGCAACATATGTTTTGAGATTTCTCTAAAGCTTCTTCGTCAGGAAGGAATAATTCAACTTGTCACATCTGCTCACAGACTAGTCCAGAAGGATTTATCAGCAATTCAAGTGGTTTCTAAACAGTTTGAATTATAACCATGAAGTCAGTACTTTTCACCATAATCTCCTTACGTGTTGCCATCTGCACCACAGGAGATTTAGTGTTGCTCCAAAGAGGATGTGGCCAGCGAGACCTATGATCATTGTTAAAGGAAGTGGAGGCCATTTAAATGAAACCTGATGAGAGTCAGACAGAATCTTCGAAGTGCTGGTTATCCTGAGATTGAAAAGTGTAACTCTTGGTTGATTAAAAGTTCAAAAATATGTGGAAAACGTGATTGTGTGGCCCTCTACAACTTCATTTTGGAATTAATTTTAAAATGATGGTGTCAAATAAGTGAAAATTCAAGAGGAAGGCAAGACACACAAATTAGATAGCTTTATTAAGCCCAATGGCAAATTGGTGTGTTACAGCAGTTAACCCAAATAAATCACAAATGCAGTTGAGGTAGATGACAAACAAGTACAGTTAAAAGCACAGATCATATATAATTGTTAAAACTACAGCACTGACAAATTGTTTAACTTAGCAGCCACCAACTTACATTGCACATCTATTTCATTTTTAAAGGACACTACTCATGATGGATTCCTGGGTTTGACATCCTTTGGGAACACCAGACTGCGCAGTTTCATCCACGCAGGTGATAAGTGCGACCGGAAATGAGCCTTGCACCCAAGTTGACTAGCTAGCAATTAGCTGTGGTTAGAAAAGCGACTCATTGTCAACACCTGAAGAAAGGAGGCCTCGGAGACTGAGGTGGGCAACTAGTGAGTAAAATTACTCCAGAAATAACGCATGTGTACACCTGTGCTTGGTGCGAGTAAAGCTAACACCTAAACATCCTGCGTCGACCCTTCTCCTGCTTGTGACAATGGCTGATTAAACCAGGTTTACCTGCAGACTCACCCTTTTATAAATAAAAGGCACAGTCATTTTTTGTGCATAACATAAGTGAAGGCTCAGGTGACGCAGCTACCTACAATGACTTACTGGACGCCTGAAGCTGTTTAAACGGTGAGTAGCCTAAATAATTTAGATTTTTGTTTTAAAACATGTTCTACTATTGGCAGTGTTGTCCTTCCATTGTGCTAAGATGAATTCGCACATCAAAAACATCTGCATGTTCTGTTTACAGCTTTTTGTCATGTTTGTTGCTGTTCATTGTGTTGCTGTTCACTGTTTAGATTTTCACCTCTGATATTTGTCTGTATAAGGAGCTTGTCACTTCTTCCTGAAATGTTGATCTCATTGTGTGTTGTTGTTGGTTCTGGTTTGGTATCGGTATCTTTGCCCAGTGGTCTGGTTATGTCTCAACAACCTTGAAGCCATTTATAAATCCTGTTGCAGTGGTGTGTAGTGTCTTGGTCAGAATGATTCATTGGTAGTTGTTTTTGATGTTTCATCGTCTGCTGGCTGCAGCTTTGACTGTAAAGCCAAAAGTGGGTGGGGAGGATACAAAAATATGGGATTTGATTTGTTGCATGGAAGGTTTTGATGCTATTTACTTAATTCACAAAGAATTTGGCACAGTGTCAACAGACTTTAGCAAGATGTGCTTTGGTTGTTGGTAGATCCTAACTTTTTCATTAACTGCTTTCTTTTTGTGCACTAAATGAGTCCGTGAGTTCCATAAAAGCAGCACCGTCTCTGGCAAGACTTTTGCTGCACTGAACACACTGTTGGGTTGTAAATCCTTATTTACACCATTTTCTGTGCAGTTACCACTCGGCTGATCTTATTCTAGTTCGCAGCCTATAGGCTGGCACAGATTAGTTGACTTATTCATTACAGAGTGTGTCTGTTGCCAGTTGCAGAGCTTATCCGGTGTGATTAATGTTGGGCTTGTGTAACTACCAAAGCTAACATGCACTCATCTTTTAAAGGGTCCCCTCTGCCAAGGGATGCATCACACTGATATATTTACAATATGTCACATGATGTGTGTTGTTTAGAATTTCTGTGTTGAGGTTTTGTCCATGAACAGATGAAGCACTGCGGTCCCATTTTTTTTATTAGGCTGCACGCCTGTGTTACTGCCGTTGCTCTTTGGCTTATTCCCAAGAGAAATTGAATAATTCAAGTTTTTTTTTTCAGCTATTTAAGCAGTACAAGAATTGGCACAAGTATGTTTAAAATATATTAATTTGATCATTATGAGAAGCAGTAATAAAAATGATTTGTAGCTTGCACAGGCGATGCATGTTTGATGGCATTTACACTGACCATTACTCCAAGTATAAACAATGCAAAGGTTTCACTCCGCTAAGATTTTTACGTCTGGTTGGCTCCTTTCTGGAAACACTGGCTTGATTTATTCATTGTTGATACAAAATATTATGCAGGTGAGGTCTGCTGATTCTCCAGTATGTTTAAATTTGCAGTACAGCAGAGATTTACCACTGTTAAAATCCTCTATTCTGTGACATGGATACATCACTTGTAATTCTCTTCTGCATTGTGTGTCTTCTTGTGTACATCTGCACTCTTGCTGGAGTGCCCACGTTCATGAATACGCACATATGCATGCACATGAAGGCTACACAGTTTCAGCTCAGTGTTAGTATTGGACATGGGCAATTCCCTGAGGCAAGGATCCGCTCTCCACCCAAACAATGAAGTGGAGCTTCTGCTCTCTTGGTGAACGAGGGGAAGCAAGCCTGTTCAGGAGGTCAGCTCCGAGCTGTTGACATTGCTCCCTGGTTGCCTGTAGTTCTGGGCAGAGCCTCATTATCACATGGTCTGCTTGGAAGAGAGTGTGCTTCGTTAGGAAGCAGCTGTCACTGCTGAGGGGGCGAAGGCAAAGGGAACGAGCAGATAAAGTAGAGCCTACTCTGCGGTCCATTCGCTGTGGCGCTCGAGGGCCAGTTGTCTGCAACATTATAGTCGACTTCTGTGTGTGGGCGCGTGCGTGTGTGATTCTGGCCAGTGTGTGAGTTTGTGCATGCGAGTGTCATGTTAATCCTGCAACAAGTAATGCGATAGTTTCACTTGTCACATGTCTCGTCAGTATTTTGTTTCTGTCACTGACCTGCTGTATGCTGGAATAAGCATTCTGCTGGCATGTTTGCGTTTCACTTTTTTATGTTCGTTTATATAATAGCCCATTTAGACAATATTTTAAAAACAATATGAGTTTTTAGACATGAATAAATCGTTTACACAAAATCACATGCATGTGCAGCGCAAAGGGTTAAGGGCATTTTGCTTTCAAAGGACAAAGGATATGGTCAGAATAAACATTACTCTTATTTTTCCATTGTGGCTTATGTCTTCAGTTACATTTGTGGCATAATTGTTTGACTTGAAACTCACTCATCTGTGCCAGATTTCAAAACATCTCTCAGAGAGAAAAACAGTTATTGAAAGATGCTGAAGCATGCAAGCGGAAGGGAAGGATAATAATAAACGGACATGTGAGACAAAAGGCCAAGGAAGAAAAATAATTACTAATGCAGAAAGCCATTTTTCAAGCATTATGGGAAACGAGATTAAATGTATAGTGGAGGTCTGCAGCATGTGTCGGGTTTCACGTCTGCCACACTCAATCAGTGACCATAGCTAATGAGATGCTACATGCTGCCTGGGACTTGAGCTGGAAAACTGCTGCTCTGGTGCACATTAGAATGTGGGGAATTCCAAAAATCTAGCATCTGGTGAAAAACAGAGCAGCCCTCTGTGGCACAGCGGTCATTAACTTCTGGGATTTAGTGAGATGCGATACCCTGTTGAGACAAAGTTTCCACACTGATGAGAACAGTTCTTCTAGCTTTGCCGATTTTCTGCCCAGCGGAAGCAACACGAGTCAGGAAAAGAAGCCGCCAGTGCCTTTCTATTAGGAAGTGTAATGGATATTAAATCATGACACAGAGATGTAGTCCCAAGTATGTGCACCACAGTGGAGTGGATTAAGGCACAGATCAACAAGTAGAAAAAGTAGGATTATTGTGAAAGATAGATGTGGTGTTGCTTGAGCGAAGTTGGGACGTGGTACTGATCTTCTGTGTTTGGACAGTTTATGTGATTATAATGTCACAAGTAAAAGATTGATTTCAAAAAGCTTGTGGAGAGAAAAAATTTGACATGTCCTTGTAGTTATTTGGTTGTCTGTTTATTCAGCATTGTATAAAACATTTCAAGAAGGAAAAAAAAATCACTGAGCCTTTGTTTAACATATTTTAATGGTGTTTTCCACTGTAGAGCTGAAAGTACCGGTAATAAAGGCACATCTTTTCTTTATATGAGCATTCTCACTGGGGATTAGACCCTGAAGTCTAAAACTGTTTGGAGTGTATTCTGCCAGCTCATTTATGTAGAACTGCATTGACATTAACGGTTTTATATTTGAGTCATGATTGACAACCGTCATACTGCTCAAAGGCAAAATCTGACATAACTGCGAACACCTGGAAAGAATTTTAATCACTGACACCAGGGATGTCATTGAAACTGATGCCTACACAGTTATTGTATTTACAGAAAATGTAATATATCTATAATTTTTTCTAGCAAAAAATGCTAAAAGATTCACTGCTTCTATTGTCTCAGATGTGAGGATGTGATGCTTTTTTTCTTTTTTTTTGCACCATGGGTGCCATTAGGTGACTTAGTGTCTTTGGGATTTGGACTTTTACTAGGACCAAGCAAACCATTTGATCATATGTGAAATTGTTATGGATGTTTTTCAGATTTTATAGACAAATCATTTCATTTATGAATGTAGAAAAGAATGAGCAGTGTTACTGACAAATAATTGTACGTTGTAACTCTGTTTAAAGCCACATTCCCCCTTTTTTGTTTTTGTAGTGCTGTCTTTGTGAACAAAGTGTCATTCATTATCTATACCACTTATCCTGTGGAGGGTTGGAGCCCCAACACTGGGCAGAAGGTGGGGTACACCTTGGGTAGGTTGCCAGTTTATCACAGGGCTGATGCATAGAGCCAGACAAGAGACAAGGAATTTAGAGTTGTGAGTTAACTTAGCCTGCACAGGTTTGGTCTGTGGGAAGAAGTCGGAGTACCTGGAGAACCCACGTAGACATGGGGAGGACATGCAAACTTCATGTAGACAGGCCCTGTCAGTTGAGAGGTTCGAACTTGGACCCGCCTTGCTGTGAGGTGACAGTATGAACCACAGGCATCACTGTGCTGCCCAGTGTAACTTAACATGATTTCTTAATCCTATCCTCCTCTGACACCACCACAACAGCCCAAAACGTAGAGGCACAAATACAAAGAGGCATTTCTTTACTCAAAATAAAGGAAATGATTTGTGTGCTCCCACAGATTCTGGTAGATTACTGTTCACCCAGTGGCCAGAAACACAGTTGTGACTTGATTACATTTCAACCGAGGTAATCCCTCACAAGATAACAACCGGCCCAGGAAACATTTGCTGTTGTTTTAAAGCCTGAAAGAACAGTCACTCAGTCACTGAACTACTGCTGCTCAATCGATGACGATCTTTAATAGCAATTTCCAGGCACCCCGATGCTATTGATTTCAGTCGACAAACATTTCACTTTGATCATTATGATCCCGGGCTTGTAGCACACTTCCTGGGGCTTCTCCTCATGAGAGGCTTGCAATTGGTCTTCAAATGGCAATCTAGTTATTGCTGTCACATCAACTGTGTCCATCCACAGCATTCATGAACAATTCAGTGTTTATTGACTACATGTATATTTTTTTTAAAACATGTCCCTAAAATTTATCTCCTTTTCCCACTGTGACAGAGCTTGTTTACAGCTTCAGCCAGTTTTTCTCCCCTCTCCCTTTCCTTAAAACAGTTCATTAGTTTCCATGCACCCGGTAGTGAGCCTTATTGTTCAGCAACCCAGTATTACGTGATGAGAGGAAGAACACAGAAGGAGCACTAGAGACTAATTACAAGTCCTCAAACTTAAAAATCTGTTCAAAGTCTTGTTGTTGCCAACGCAAAGGCACTGACCTGGGGTCTCATTTAATGTTTCTAAGTATCTATTAATGTTACTTGGGTTATGTTTAGAGCTAGGGGA